TTGCCACTACTTTCACTAGATGAAGTTACTTCTTCACTACTTTCACTTTGTTCTACTCTTCTTCTTTGGTGTCGCTTTTGGTAACTTGCCCTCTGCTTCAAGTTGTTGCATCTTTGCCTCATGTTCACCTAGTATGTTGTAAATTTCCCATGTCCTTTTTGCCTTTGGGCTCTGGTCACCCATCTCAGGTAACCTATATCCTAGAAAGATTTTGTCATAGTTTGTATTTGAGTCTTCGCGTATTGTTTGCATGACTCTTTCCTGAGTTTCCGGTTCAAGCTCTTCAAACAGAGCTTGTCCATATGGAATAAGCTCGTTTCCAAATATATGTTTTTGTAGCCATTCTGGTTTTCTTTCCATGTTACCAATAATATCTTTTGTGAATGGGAAAGCTTTTACCCAATGTTTCAGTCTTGCGTCATTTATTTCTGTAGTTGGTTTTATTTTGTCAAGGAACATGTTTTTCAATACTAACATTTCATTTGGTACTGTCCATTTGAGTTTTCTTAAATATTCATCCCTTCTCGGTTCATTGTCTGCAAAGTAAGTTTTTATGACATTTTGTAAACTTTCGTTTGCAAGGTCATGTACAATAGGTTCTCTTCCTTCTATCTCCCTAACTTTCTTTCTAAACTCTTCACCAAATATACCATCTCTATGGTTCTGTGTAGTTCTTTGAGATAAATGTTTTAGAACGTCAGGTGTTATATTTCCATCAGCCATGTTCATTTCATACTGGTCCAAAATATCTGCATGTTTCATATCTTTCAATGGCATTAAAGCCGCGCTGAAAATACCAGCTATATCTGGTTCACCATTCACTTCCATTGCGTCTACAACTTCTTGGAATTGTGGTTGTAAGTTTATGAACCACCTATCCGGATTAGCTTTATGACCCCATCTCATTGTAGTTCCATAGTCTGCAGAAACAAAAGTAGGTTTGTTTCCATATTGGTTAGGTTCTGAATGAACTTTAAACAATGTTTCATTTCTATATGTTTTGTTGAAATTTAACCTTTTATTTTCACCGAGTTCAGCCAAAGATTGAACGTTATATGCTCGTAAGTAAAAAGGATTGTTGTATTTGCGTACATTTTCTTTCAGTACTTCCATTCTATGCTGAATATTTTCATCTGATGTTGGAGTCTTTTGTATGTCGGCGAACATTTTTCGATATTCTTCTACTATGTCAGCCGAATTTTTCTTAGACTCTTGGAAAGATTCCATATTCTCCGCATACTCTTGTTGAGGGTCAAGATTTTTCGGCTGTTCCAAATCTTCATCTAGTTCTGTGAAGTTAGTTTCCAAAGGAGGGACTTGTTCGTTTCCTTCAGGCTCTTCTAGCTGTTGTTGCTGAACTATTTCTTCCATGTCTGGTTGTATCTGAACTTCTTCCTGTTGAGTTTCTTGTACCTCATCTGCTGGCATTTCATATATTCCGAGACGGTTTTTAACAAATTCCTTATCTAAGTCATCCGGACTCATAAACCTTTCTTCTTTCGTTCCGTCTCTATTTTTTACGCGTTTCATGAAGAGAGTTGAATTATCATTTAGTTCTGACACCAAATATCTCGGAGTAAATTCATCCATGTCATTTGGATGATATGCTATTAAATCATATCCCTTAGCGAGCTTGTATTTTCCAGGTTTGAAATTATATCCCATTTGGTGCTGAGCCATAAAGCTAAATAGGTTCGGGTCAGTATTTCCTTCCTTGAACTTTCTAATAGCTTCTTTATATCTGTCACTAAAGTCAAGAGTATCTGGGTAACCATAGTCTTCCTTAAGCATTTTTAAGAATTCTTGGTTTCCTTGTTCTCTACTTCTTTTATGTCCTTGCTCTGTTTGTGGTTGTTGCTGTGCAGTGTTTTGAACTGTTGGTTGTGGTGCAGTGTTTTGAACTGTTGGTTGTGGTGCAGTGTTTTGAACTGTTGGTTGTGGTGCAGTGTTTTGAACTGTTGGTTGTTGTGTTGGTTGTTGTGTTGGTTTTGGTGCATGCCTGTGTCTGTGTCCATGTGACGATGTAAATGTTTTAGGTAGTCCTGGTGCAGGTGCTTCTCTTGGAGGGTTTGGTGGTATATAAGTTCCACCAGCTGGCACATATGTTCCATCTGCAGCATAATGTCCTACCTGACTTTTCGTTTTTAAGAAAGCATTTACTAGGTCTGTTTTGGTCTGTTGTAACTCTTTTTCTTGACTTTCCACAACAGTTGCTCTAACGGCGTCATAGGCACTTTGAACTGCCTGTCTCGTTGCTGCATCTGTTATTTTCGTCATATTTTGTGCTACTTCTCTTAACTCGTTGTCGAAACCTTCAGACTTCAGTTTCTTTCCAGATGAGAAGTCGTTCACTAGTTTCACCTTACTATGAAGAGCTTCGAAGGCGTTCTTAAAGTCAGCATTCATTAAAGCTTCATTTGAACTGTCTTCATCCGCTTGTATTTTTGTCCTTATTGACCCTATAAGTTGGGCTGCTTTGGCGTTGGCTTGGGCATCTAACCAGTCATTATTAGCTTTTATATATTCTGCGCTTTTCATTGCCTTTTGCATGGCTGCGTCGTTATTTTTACTTTCTTGTGCTAAGTTTTCATACTGTACGGTTTGGTTTTGCAACTGTAAAAGTTTTTCTGCCTTTACATTTGCTTCAACTTCTTTTTTATACTCATCGCTATCCATATATGTCTTCAGGGCTTTTTGTTTTATTTCTTCATCTTTCAGTACTTTATATTGAGTAGTATGGTTTTTCAAATTTATAACATCTTGTTCCATTTTTGCTACTTCTGCTGCTTTTTCTGACACTTTTTTCGCATATTCCTCTGTACTTAGTTCTTTCAGTTGTTCTTCTTTCTTCTTTTTCTCTACGTTTAACTCATTGAGTTTCTTTGTGTGTCTGTCATATTCTAGTTTCTTTTCGTTTTCACTTATTTGTTTCTGTATGTCTATGTTTGACTTTTTGACATCTGTTATTTGATTTTTGAGTGAACTCAAATTCATTTGACTTTGAGGGTTATAAGCTGTTCCGTCTGCAGCTCCACCATAGCCTGCCATTTTCGATAAAAGTGCCGCTCTTAAACCTCCACTCTGTGCACCAATAACTCGGTTTAAAAGCATAGGGTTGCTTGACATTTGTTGCAACATAGTGGGGTCATTCATAATTTGTTGTTGCAACTGTTGTTGTGGTGTCAGTTTTACTATTGGATGTTTCAATGCTCCCTTCCTCTTACGTATATTCTTACGTAGCTTACGTGGCATTTTAAGTGAAGTAAAAAACGGTTTTTGACAGATGTTTATATGACACTTTTTGTTCAGCACAAAAAACTACTCGGTCAAAGTGTTGTCAGTTTTGTAAAATAACCGTCCTATCTCATTCTATAAGGAGAAAAAGACTTCTCAAAGTATACTTCCTTGGAACGCCCGTAACTTTTCCTGTAGCGACGATAGACCCTTACTTGTCCGGACAAAGTTATACTAAACATCTTCAGGGCTAGAGGGCACGAAGTGCCTGGAGGCCCCACTACCTTTTTTTTTTTTTTTATTATTTCATTTTTCTCATTCAATTTAGAATTTACAAATGTCAAAAAATTGAGAGCTGTCACTTTTGATGAATTTCTGTTTATTACACTCTAATTGAATAAGATCTATTTCTCATCAAAGAAGGCGCAAAATATTATATTTCCGAGTACATTTTTTTGACAACATTTTTGGCAAAAATTTTTGTAGATCATAACAATTGTTCCAGGAATCATCAGGATCTTGAATCATTATTAATTATATTTTATATATTTCTCAATTTTTGAAAGCGTCGTCAACAAAGATTTTGTAAACTTTTCAAAATTCAAATGTTTTGAAACACTATTTTATCAACACTATTGAATAATAACCTGTGCTGATGATCACTTCATTTTATTATTTCTATTAAACCATTCTTATCTTTTCAATGATTTACAAAAACCGGGAGTTATCATTTCAAATGAATTCGAGGTATCCTTATTATCCCGACTTGGGCGGTAGCCAAGTGGCCAACTATGGCGACACTGAAGAGTCTCAAGCTCCAATTAATACCTATTTTGAATATCCACAACAGTTCTATACTTATGAACCACAAGATGGTGAAGTAAACTTTGGTTCTTATTGCCATAAAAATACGTTTTCTAACCAGCCTACTGAGCAGACGAGTGGCAAGGGAACTGCTTTGATGTTACCTGCAGCTCGCAAGCGTTTGTAGACATTTAGAAAGTCTCATTCAACATGAGTAAAACTACATTTGATTTATTTATTATGCTTTTTTTATAAATCAATTATAGGCCCATAAATCAATAATTTTTTTTGAAATAGGTTAACAAATTTGAAGTCAAAGCCTTCAAATGTTGAGCCTAAGTCGATACCAAACTGATTTTTCATAAAAGATTGCCCAATCATAGCAAATATCTTGGATATGAAAAGTCTCCGACCGAATCACAGTAGTTAACTTAATGCAATTTTTAAAGTTTGTATCTAACACAATTCAAGCAGGGAGTATACCCCTTTTTTGGTGAAATTTTGATTTATGGGGCGGCGACAAATTTGCCCAGCCAGTAAAGTATTCAATTTTTTTGCATTTTTTAAAGCTTCTTAACTTAAATCATGGAATGTCTCAAAGACAAAAGTAGCATACAGCATGTAAAGCTAAAGAAAGAAGTTAGTATACATATCTTCAGTACTGTGGCACTGCGCGCCATCTTACCGAAGATATGTCAATCTGGCACTTTACAAAACCACTAACGTATATTTTACATCACAGATGCAATATTTCTAATAACCTTAAACTATTTCTGCCACATAAAGTATTTATCACATAAACCACCTCATCTCACCTCTCTGTACGTTATATATTGTGCGCAGGTCATTGCCCATGGCAACTCCCCACGACACAATGCACGTGCATGAAAAAATAAACGTTCTCACTAACGTTCTCACTAATGTTTTCACAAACGACTTCACTAATGTAAAAATAAACGTTCTCACTTACAAAAGTATTGCAACTCCTCCCATTGCTGTGCTTCACATAACAACTCATAATCTTCTGACTCACTTTCTTCTTCATATAGGTCAAAGTCACTGTCAAAATAAATGTTAGTAAGTTTTGACAAAGCTAATGAAACACGCTTACCGTTTGTATCATATGCTTGTATAAACTTTCCATTATGTTTACTATCATAAACGCTCAAACTAACTTTACCCTTTCTCCCTCGTATCTGATAGAATGTATTTTCACGAGGAACAAAGAACAAATTCTTGAACTCATGACCGTTGTAGTTTGTTATCTCAATAGTTTTCGTCATTTATATAAAAATAAAATAAAAAATAAACTTAAAAATTAATGATATCACCACCCTCACGCGTATGAAAACATAGCACAAAAATAAATTTAGGTGAAGTGGTGAGATCTCACCTCTTTTTTCACCCTGTTGAATTCATTGCTTTATAACTCTCTTCCTTTCTCCAACTCTTCTAACTTCTTCCTAAGTTTAGCAATGTTGTCCTCATGAAGTTTAATCTTTCTCAAAATTCCTTCTTTATCTAATGGTTGCTTTATCTTTCTAAACTGAACTCTACCATCCTTCATAGTATGAATGTAAAAACCTTCTGGAATAGTTCCTGATTTAATGTATTCTACCAAGAACTTTTGTTTCATTGCTTCAGTGACTTTATTTGTCATTTCAATCAAATAAAAATTTTAATATTAAATAAAAAGAACGTTATTTTTTTCAGTAAGGAAACGCAGGAGTTTTACGATTTATTTGAGGAGTAGGTTCTGGTTTAAATGTTCGAGTCGGTTTAGGAGTTGACTTTTGAACAGGAGTTTGTACTTCCATAGGTTCAGGAGTCATTGAAGGCGTTGGTTTTGGCGAAGGTGTCGGAGTTTGTTTAACTTCAGCTACTTCAGTATTATTTACAACATTTGCTTTATTTCTTTTCAACATCATTACTGCTCCTGCTGTAACTAGCAAACCTAGTGGGAGACCATATTTTATATAAGGACTTGACCAAACGCTATTTTTGACAGGAGCTGGTGGAACACCTAACCTTGGTGAGACTGCTCTTTGCCATTGTGCAGCTCGTAAGAAATATTCAATAGGTGCTCCATAATCGTTTGGTAAAGTTTGTTTCATAGATGGTGAAGGTTCACGAGAGCTTGATGAAGAACTCATTTATAAGCTTTAAAAATAAACGTTCATTCTTTATTCCTCACTGTCGTCCGTAGCTAAGTTATAGTCATCTAATCTTATTATGGGGATTCCATTAGCACGCACCTGGATGGCAAAGCAACAATCCCTCATAAATCCAATAAGTGGCTTTGGTACATTTTCAGTTGCTAGTTCAATAGGTCCTTTAACAGACAATTTGTATGTTATTGGAGCAGTAGATGTTTGACCTTGCTGGAAGCAAAAGTCCACTTCTGTTGGAAAACCACATAAGAAATGTGTGTTGTCATAGCTATCCCATTTATGTTCCACACTACCATCATCCACCAATGACCTCATAACATCTTCATTAAATCCAATCATATCATTGTTTGTATTGCAAGCGTTCGCAACCATTTCATAAAATACAGGTCCATATGATTTTTCAGGTTCTGCAGGCATATTTCCATAAGCTCCCATGGAAAGCTGAAGATATTTAAACTTAGGGTTCTCAAAATTAACATAATAGTTGTCTTTCTTTCTAAATAGTGCCCAAATACTTTTAACATTAATAGGCGTATAAGCTGCTGTAAATGTTGCACTTGAACTATCTGTATTCTTTGAGAATGAACCGTCCATAGGAATCCAATCCATAACTTTAACAGGAAAACATAAAGCCTCGTTTGTATAATGTTCTACAAGTTCTGTATAAATGTTAGGGTCTAAAGAGAATGATTTTGGATGAATGAAACATTCATTAAAATCCATCTTTGTTCGAAATAGTTGCTGGGTTACAGTTGTAATAGTAACTGTTCCACTAGCTTCGACTGCCTTTGTTATCATAGTGAATGGTTCATTCCATGGAACAAATTTATTTGTCGGTGGATTTGAATCTGAAGCAAATGCAACTTTAAGAGTTGGATTGAAAGCAATGATATCATTTACAGATATAGATGTGCATTGTAAGGCGTCGCTACTGAACTTTACTTTAAGCTGAATGTTACCAGCAAATGCAGGAATAAATCTTATAGCTTCTAATGGTAAAAACTTTCTAACAGGAATTCTTAAACGAAGCTTAAAATCAAATGATTTTCCTGCTGTAATTGGACCACTAACAATTTGTCCTGTTCTGCATGTTCCCGAATGACTCCATACATCTTCATGTCGAGTCTTTGAGAAAACATCTACTTTCTTTATTTGTTCGGTAGTTTGTGAGTTTGAAGTTATATATGCTTCTTCTCTTGCGTTGTCTTGAGAATATACGATACGACCATTTGCAAGGATTTGATATCCAGCAACTGCATAGAAAGCGTCATCGAAACCAATCCAAAATCCTGGTGGGTTTGTTTTATTGGAACCTGAACCAATTTCTTTATCTACAATAAATTGACCTTCCATTTTATACGTAATGAATGTATTGTAAAGGTCCAACATATTTTCACCAGGAGGTGAGAGATTGAATGTTACCCATGTGTTATCTTTAGCAGTTCCAGGTTGTGATGGAATCTTTGCGTCAGAATATTTTCTATTAGTGTCACCAATTTGAACTGCATTGTCTATGATATCGAAATATGAGCGAATCTGATGAATATGCTCTGCTGGAGTAAATTCGTTTAGCTGTTCGTTCTGCATGTATTTACTTCAGATAAAAATATCTATTTACTTCATTATTCTCACTCTTCTTCTTGGCATTCGTGGTGGAAGTTGTTTCTTGACATTTTCAATGAACTGTACATTCTCTTTTGTCTCAACTTCTTTCACTGGTGGGTCAGGGTTCTTTGACTCGGTTTGTTTTTCAATGAAATTCACGAACTTTGCAATAAGCTCTTGGTTCGTTATTGAAAGTACATCTGGCTTCTTTTCTTCTGGTTCTTTTGGTGGCTCAGTTTGAACAGAAGGTTTTATATGGGCTTCGTGGACTTCACCCTTGCCATGCACCTTAATGTTGTCGCTTTCTGCATTCGCTAATGGAACCTTTCTTTTTCTTACATATATTTTACCATCTTTACTCTGACTTACGTAATAGAAAGGATGTTGTATTCCTCTGGCGTCATTTAATATAATAGACTCTCGTTCTGATTTTGACAAGCTCATTTTACATCGGTTAAAGTTTTAATTTTGTTTTTTATCTGCAGTCAAATGACTCAGACAAGCCCTACGGACAAGACCCAAGGGGTCATAGATGTTGAAGCATTGAAGAAAGAAATTCGCGAGCAAATTTTATCCGAACTGAAGGAACAAAAACAAGAACAAAAGCCAGAGAGACCAAAGAGAAAACTTAGTGAAAAACAACTTGCTGCATTAGCTGCTGGAAGACAAAAGAACCCACGTTTGCTGGCAAAGAAAGCTAGAGAAGAAGCAAAAGCAAAGGAAGAACAAAAAGCTAAAGAAGCTGAAGCAAAGAAAGAGTAAATGGTTTATTTTTATCCGAATTAAATGTATAGACAAATACCTTTAACTGTTGCGTTCAGTAGTGAAAACCCTGACGTCAAAATAAAGGGGAACAGAGTAACGTTTAAGTTTCCAACAGACTGGATTGTGAACATAAATGAAGAGAAGTACATTGGCATAACAAATATGTATATAACACGTGCTTTCAGAAAGGTTGACTTTATACTTCAAGTCGAGATAGAAAATGACGAACAGTCTTTAAGCGCCCAAAACATTCACATATACAAATACTTTAAAGACGATACAACATTGTTGCAATGTATGATTTCATTTAATGAGATGTTCGAGAAAAAGTTCAACATTGAAGTACAAACTTTACAGCCTTTACGTGAGTTTCTTGCACAACTGAAGGAAGAAGGTAGTCAGCCACAACTTATAGACTTTCATTATGAATTTAATGAAAATGAAGATGGAACTCATGACTGTCAATTCATTGTATTCTCACCATTCAATGAAGTCGCTAAAGAGAAAGAAAATCCATTACGTATAAGATTTCAAATCTCTGAACCAAGTGATGATTTCAAGAATGTTTTCAATTATGATGCAATGCTTCCGAGGAAAAATGAATTTTCAAAGATTGTAACACCTGGCATTTGGGATAGAAAGCAAGCTATATTATATTCAAACTTAAGTAAGGGAGTTGAAAATGAGTTCATTGGTCATACAAGAACTCACCACTTCCTAACCCTAAATTCTATAAATTAACTGGCTTCAATCGTGAGTTTTGGATAGACATGTTCTCCACTCATGACCATAACTGCCCAGTGTTCTTACCTCCAGACCATAAGGACTGTCTCTACATTGAAGCACAACTCTTAAACTCTACCATCGCAGTATTGTAAAATCTACGCTAGCTTTATTTTTATCACGAATGACCTCATTGCTGACAAAAATAAATGACCTCATTCATGACCTCATTGCTGACCTCATTCATGACCTCATTGCTGACAAAAATAAATGACCTCAGAACTTCAACTTACGAATAAAGCTTGTTTTAGTCGTTATTGAGAAGTTAAACTTCTCTTCAAAGCAAGGTTGACATGACTTACATAAGTCAAATCCAATCTCTTGACCGTCATAAAGTACTTTATAAAGTTTCATGACGCTGAACTCAGAGTCTTTGTCAAATTTTCCTTGCGGAACCATTAAACCTTTATCTTCATTGTAATAGCATTGTATAGCTTCAGGAAACATTTCATTAGCGGTTAAAGCAATAACATCTTGCTTCACGCCTTTCATTCTGCAGTGAAATGCAACTTCATTTAAATCGTTAGTGAGTAAGTCTATGTAGGTCTTCTTTCCACAAAATATTGACTTGTATGCTAAACTTTGTTTTCCAGGTGTTATTTCTGCGAAGTCACTATGAAACTGACCAAGGTTTTTACCAATGAGAACTCTTCCATAACGTTTCTCAAACTCTTCAGCTAAACGAGGGATATCTTCATTGTAGAGATGCATACTGTCGGTATCGCTATAAAAGATGTCCATTCCTAAGTCTTCGGCAGTACAGAATACTTCACACATTATTCTCTTCGACATAGACAGAATATTAACACCTAAGGGGCAAAAGTTAAAGTGTCTGCAAATGCTTTTCGTTAGCTTGAAAATAGTTTTATCTGAACCATCCAAACCTTCGAACTTCACTATATGGTTGTAATTTCTTATAGCATATCTTATAGCATCTTTGTCATCTACTATGGTTATTT